ATGTTTTTTTTCTTTTTGATGCTCCCATTCCTCGAAGAGCACTATGCTCTCATTCTTCCACCCATAACACACACATTCATCTCAACTGCTCAACAAGTTCAGCTCGTTTTGTGGCTCTTCCTAATGGTTTATAAGTTCACTGTTACGTTTTATGATTCGTTATTCTCCTCATTTCATTCACAGCTGAACAAAACAAATCAACACACATAAATTCTCGAAAAGAACACCTCGCAAAAGCACCAAATCATAAGTTTGTCTTTCACTGAGTATCAACTAATACCAAACGATCCAACAGATGGATAGATGAACGAATACATTCTATTCATAATCCATCGAATGAGTTGTTTTTGAACAAAAAAAGGAAATAATTTTATATGCAAATGCATTTAGGTACACCTGTTTATCTTATCTATCACCACTGACCACATCTAGCCATTCTCAAATATCACAATAACCGCTTTATCGATTCCTAACAGTTCTTTGTTATGATAAAATCCATGATTGACGAACACAAAACAATAACACTGGAGGCGAAGATTTTTGCAAAATNTAATGACTGGACGAATCCATTTCTAAGATAAATTCACTTCAAAACGACCTTTAACCGAACAGTGATCAATGAAATGATACTAACAAATGAATTCGAACGAAATTTGTGGATGGAGAAACAATGAATTCAACCACCTTCTGATTCAACTTTTGACTCTGACGTTGTCGTTGGTGGTGTGGATGCTGTTACATATCTTGATGACGAAGATGATTCTGACGGTAACGATTGGGAGAATGAACGCAATGTTGATAAAGATTCGTGATGAGTGTTATACGGCAGCGAAGACTGAACAGAACTCAGTGAATCTACTGCGAGACTTCGACGATTCGCCGGTACATTCGAATACCTTAGCAAACGATCGCGTGACGGAGGATTCGGCGGGAGTGGGGGTCTTTGCCGAACGTTTGCCGACCTCATCATTGAAGCCAGTTGATCACTACTATTACCGGCATCACGAACCATTTCGGCTGCTCGAAATGATATGTCTGGTTGGGAAAACGAGTGATATAGTGGTTGTCTGCTGCTTTCAATTGCACTAGACCAGTATGAAATCGAGTTAGAGTTCGCTGCTGCTGATGTTTCATTTTCAGCTGCTACAGCAGCACTAATCAATTCCGTATCATTTGATAGTGTTCGAGCAAGATGTGAATGAGCTATTTGTTGCAGTGAATTGTTCAGCTGCTCGTGGTGTGAATATGTAGTTGAAGTTTTTCTTGGCGCGCTAAGCTCATGATGATAAGTGAATATTTCACGTGAGGGTATTGCCCGAAGTGTTTCAATACCAGCTTTGAGGCGTTGTTGCAACTCAGGTAAACGATCCTTCATTAACGACTTATGATCGATTCGTTGCGATATTGATCGCAGTTTCGCAGCTGGTTTCTTTAGCATTCGTTGTGTTCGTCGCCGGAGTGTATCGAACGTTGCAACAGACCAACGCATTGATGGCAAGGCAGCAGAAGAGTAGGAATCAGCCGAAATCGAGACTGGTGGATCGCAAAAGGAAACAGCTTTTACTGAAGACTTTGAAATTTGACAACACTGAGAGGGGTAAAGGTAATTTGTGGGAGAACAGGACTGTTCCAACGATTGATTAGATGGAGTAATTTTACATGGCTGGTGTTGTTGTTGTCGTCGTTGGTCGTTGACTGTTCTCGCTTGAAACGGCAAATTATCATAGTGACTAGAGGCGTTAGGTTGCGAACATTCAGCACAATAGCACAGAGTTGAATATGCTGTTTCTGATGCATTCTCCGCGGGACGTCGAGCGCTATTCGGCGAAGATACCAGTGTAGGAAAGTTGTCACATTTTTGTGAGATCGACGACGAAGCATATCCCGAGGAGCCGGAATCTGTTTCCGGTTCACTCGTCATTGTTGGTGTTGTTGCACTCGCCCCGGTCGCTGAAGCTGATACCGTTGAACTTCTAGCGTAGACGTCAGAATCGAAGGAACAGCTCGTTCGAGTGAGTAGTGCCGCCGCACCACCACCACTAAATGTAGAGTCCGATGCAGTTCTGTTGGATGGCGATTCGGATGGGGAATAGTCAGGAGTTGGACAACGGATTTTATGATGCTCTTGCGGTTTTCGCTGTTCCATCGTCGGCGATTCTATTTCACCACACGAAGAATCAAAGTAATAGACCTCACAAACTGGAGCGTAAACATATGATACCGGTAACGTTGCGTAATGTTCTTGGAAGTCATCATCATACGGCAACAAATCACACTTCTGTGCAAACTGTTTGCTGCCAGTTAGCGGAAGTGGAACTTTCGCGAGTCTGCTCAGCGGCAATAATGCTGACGGTGAATGATAGATCAGATGTGCCGGAGGTACAACCGGGGTTTGATATGGTGCTTGGGACAGCAACGGCACACCACCGCTACCGGCGGCATAGTATGGCGTCTGTGCAGCCATTGTGGTCTCGTCATAGAGCCACAACTTGTTCAAATCCAATTCGGATGCTACGCATCGACGACGGTGATGCGGAAGTTGATGATTTTGAGGCGAGTAACGATGATGGCCTCGAAGCGAGTCATTACCACCAACTGCTGATGTCCACATCAATTATGCTCACTGCTAATTACTCGATCGATGAATTTCGTTGTTTTGTTGGATGGATGGATGGATGGATTGTTTGGTTAGTTGACAGCAGTAGAGCAGAGAAAGCAAGTAAACAAATAAAGAAATGATTCAATAGCCAAATCTCGACTAAGTAAATCAGCGGATAAATAAATCTGCTGGACACGACGACAGTTTACAGCCAAGAGCCACCGTCCAATCAACAACCATCAGTTGTGTTGTCCTTGCTCAAAATGTTCCACTTTTGAATCAACCGGCTGAATCAATCCACAAAATTAGTTCGGTTTTGCAATATTGCGACGCAATGCTCAAAAAGACAAACGAAGCGGAAGTTAAGCAAACAGTTGATCGTTCTCTCTTATGCAGTAAAAGAGTTCGATTCGTATATAAGCCGATTCGCGCACAAATTACAAATCTCTAATTGATTAATCAATTTAGTTCAATAATACAAAAGCAAAATCGACTAAAATCATCAGTTGAGCCGAGAAGGAAATGTTAGCAACTCGAATGGAAAACTTATAGGTACGAGTAGACACATTTATGTTTACTATAAACTGAAATAAAAATAAAAAGTGAAGAGTGTGAAATATATTTTTAAGAAAAGCTTAGTAAAAGACATCAAGTAGAGCGATTAAACGAGCGAGTGCACGAGTGAATGATTCTTGGGTATTATGAGAAGACTGCGAAAACAAACTCAATTTATAGAGGTGGAAACGAGGTAATAAATGGTAAGGAAAATGAACAAGGAAATTTGCACGATACAGTTGTCGATTGATATTTGATTGATTCTAATTTGTATTCGATGAGGTTGAAAGGATCGATGGGTTTTTGGATGGGTGATTGAACGAATCAATCGAATAGATCAGTCGTCAACAAGAAATAACCAAATCAAAAAATCATCGTCTTTGTTGTTGTGGATCATTGTGCACAGACACAGGCAATATTATTCAATCTATCAAGAACAGCAATAATACTACCAATAATAATAATAACAATATTGATGATACCGACAATGAAGGTTATTTCTTTCACCATCTATTGAGATTTAAAAGGTGGAGGAGTAGGAGAAGGGTCGCAAACAACTACTGAGTGCCTGATTGATCTCGATGAAGATCTTATAAGACGATCGGTAATAAAAAAAAACGAGTGAATAGATTGTTGATGATTTTCTATGATAAGACCTACCAACGCACGACTCCTTCCGATTCATTCAGTTGATTTTGCAGTATTCAGATAAAGAATATCCACTCATCTACATTTCCTAACTCATCACTCACTCACTCAGTTACGTTTATCATCATGATACTCATCTGATCATTGAGCCATCTCAAAATCATCGAACAGCTCCAATTAACCACTGCTCATCCATTATACAACCAATCAAAATTTGAGGGCTGGCTGGCTATGCGTTACTTGCACAGGTAGATTATGGATCTTCTGCTATAGAAGGTTTGCTAAAGAAGACGAAACTTGACAAGGCAATGCGAAAATGAATGCAATCGAATGATCAGCAAAATGCGACATAAGACGACTACAAAGGACAGCAAAGGACGGGACAATCATTTTATGCGACGCGATAAGTTGAGAGAATTGAGGTAAAAGAGAAAGAGGTTTCACCTCTACGAGCGGAGAGGGAGGGATAGACTATCCTATCCGCAAAGATAACAACAAAAACAGCGATAATACAACGATCATCTAGATGAGAGGTACGAACTAAATGTTGTATAAGATCAAATAAGAAGAATCCGAGGTAACGAGACGTACTTAATGAAACGAAATAAGACGGAATTAAAAATAAGGAGGGAATTATTACAATAACCAGAAGTTATTATTAAAGGAGGATGAAGATATACAATACGAGTGAAATACTTTATTCAATCTTTCATACGACAATTCTACGATGAGATGGCTAGTTTTTACGATCGACTCTATTTAATATAATACTTATTCCTCTTTTATGACGATCTTATACGAAATTCTTCAAGGATAATAAGCAAATACTGCGAGTGAATGAGCGAAGTGAGCTGTGATCGAATTATTAAATGAGTTATATTAAAGAAATAAGATGAAGAGTTTTGTATCCGTGGGTGTAAACGAATACCTTCCCTTATAACTGAGCATTCATATTTGCTTTTATTAACCCGAACTACGAGATCTTTTAGCCAAAAACCAAACAATGTGACACAACAAAGCGTAATACTGCAATTGGAACACTTATTCAGTATGGACTGTGCAAGAGATCATTACCATCGAAGTAGATCAAGACGGTAACACGCAAAACAGTTACCATTCATGAAAATAACACATCTCATAGCACTGGTAACAGGTTAAAGTTGAGAACGTGATGTTTACATACATAAACATAAAAGACTCCCTTATACGTAATAGATTCAATACTCATATTATAGTTATTCTTATAACAATATACTCAATGTTTATGGTGTGTAGGCAATATTAAATATATATTCAATGTTTGATAATGGGCAACGTTAAAAATATTGTCCACGATTAATCATTTATCTCCGGAGATTCATTCATTTTCTTCATTTGAACTTGAATTCTACAAATCGACGAGTCATAAAGAAATGAAATGAATAAAATCAAGAATAAATAAATGAAGTGTGAAACAAACTTCGGGCTTAAATTACAATATGAACAGTCGTTAACTACTCAACTATTCGTTCGCATTCTCAGAGCAAAGCAAAAAAANAAAAAAACAATACGAACAACAGCAATGGATCGTCGAAATCTCATTGATTATGACAAAGATGCCTTTCACAGCAAATAATGATTCTTAATGCAGATGATCCTCTGATTCAGAACTGGTATGCGCGTTTTTATCGTAGACTAATTCAAACAATTTATACACACAATGAGAACGCAATAATAATATCGTACCAGATACAATATAAAACAGTATGTATCATGGTACGAAACTCAAATAAACGGATGTAATCGGATTACCTCAATGTAGACTATTCAAGATTCAAACTCAAGTGTATCTAAGAGATACTGAACTCACTTGGTAAGATACATCAAATTCATCGAGATTTCAATAGTTCAAGATGAATTCCCTTGAAATGGGAGCACTAGCTACTTCTTATTCGTCAATTCATTCTTTCATTTGATTTACCTATAAAACACTCATCTTTTTATTCAGATTAAACAATTCAAACAAAATACATTGATTGCAAAACAATTTTATTACAAGTCAGTAATATCATCTTATTCAATCAAATATAATCGACTAGATCTATTCAAATACTATCTTTCAACCAGTATATTCGCAGTTCTTCACTATAAATAAAAAAATAACTAAATAATTTTTATCAGTAATACGCAAACAGAATACACCTTTTCAACTATTCCCTATCTGTTTTGTTTAAAGTTGAGTTGTAAAACGTTCCAGAATCAGCAAATAAAAGATAACGTCATGATGAGTAAACTTCACTTCATTCCCACTTTCCTCGATTTTCCTTGAACGAATCAAAATATAAGTTAGAGATATGTCCAATTTCATAATCCTACTAATGATAAAACAAACATTTTTTTTTTCAAAAGAAAAAATGGCCTCATTTCGAAAGTGCACAAAATCTGCAACTAAAAATAAACGGCATCAATGCTTCATCAACAAATAAACGAAAACTAGAAATAAATTTGCTGACAGTTCAACAAAAAACGGCATTCGTTAGCACAGGTAAGCACACAGAATCTAAACAGTTGCACTGAACAATGCAAATTTTCATAAATACGCGAACGAATATGACCAAAATCACTAGCAATTATTATGCTACTATAACATACGCCGTTATCATAGTATAACCAACTAACTATGCAATCATTTTATGATAATAGTAACATTAATGATAATAATAACATTAACTCGCATGACAAGCAATCATTTTATGATAATAGTAACATTAATGATAATAATAACATTAACTCGCATGACAAAACTAATAATAATGATAATAATAATACTTTTGCACAAGACACCATCATCATAAAACGTCAATGACATTACACACAAAAAAACATGCCAAATTGTACTGCTCATACGTCCTCTGCCCGCATACTCTCAACTTTTAGAACATCTTTTGATGTTTAGTTTAAAATCACTGACCAGAAAATTATTCTCACTGCAATATATCTTAAAATCATGAAACAATTTTTAGAATTTTTCAAACGTATTACATTCTCAAATAATTATCATTGAAGCGCATGCACCAATGATTTCGTATTCAGCTGCTCTCATCCATATGTCATGACAATCGAATAGTTCTTTCGAAAACACGATCTCCATTCCTTCCCTTACCTCCTCTTGCCATTCACTTAAACCCCGTTTCCTGCATCACTGAGCACCAATACGTACAGTTATATCAAAGTAACGCATCACTGATTGCATCAAACTAACTGAAGTGTACATGATGCAAAACTATCAAGCATACCGTTTTTCTTTCGTTTACATTCAACAATTCAATAAAATTCATCATTTCTTCACTCATTCATTTTTTAATGAAATGAAACTTTTTTGCTAATTTTTACTGGAGGAATTTTAAGTGTCCAAAAAGTTACACTTCATCTATTGTTTAATCAATTCTGAGAACACCACCTAAGCGATCATCTATTTGTTTCTTTGTGCAGCACGCTTTCGGCGTGTACAAGAATTTAGAAAACTGGTCATTGAAACAAATCACGATGAAACCAACGCACTTGAGCATCGATCGTTTGTTTGTTTGTTCGTTGGTGTTTGCTTACCGAATTTCTGGTTCAGCTATTTTAACGCAAAAATTTGCTTATAATTTTAAGCTCACAAAATTTTACTTCACGGAAGAACCGACCAGTTTTGATCGATGAGTGCAACAAATGAGAAGATAAGACATAAACCAAGCTCACGTGGAAGTATTTAATTAAAGTCGCACAAAAAAAAATAATATAAAGTACGTATAAGTGAGAAGATGAGAAACAGGATAAAGAATATGAGTGAAATAATTCAGAGTAATAACAACAATAATAATTTCAGAAATGTTAAATTTATGCGCAAGAAACAAAACTAAAACAATGAATGTAATTGAAAAACATTAACTACAAATGTATAATAGTAACGAACAGGTTTCCATTTTATCCATTTTTCAATTATAAATTTGAACATTTTACGTTATTTTTATTTCTATGCTGTTTGCAAATGAATAAAACCAAATAAAACGTGACCCCACTACGGATATCACCACCACCAATAACAAGATGGAGGAAGCATTCCTCATTTGTTTTCAACGAGCCCATGAATGGGCCACCGTTCAGCATACCGTTCGTTCGTTCATCCTTCATCGTTAATCACCACATTTCAAATAAGACTACTACCATCAAAATCATCAAAATCCTCAACAAGAAATGAGAGTGAAAAGAATAACCAAGGACGTTTTTTCAATTGAAATCCTCCTCAAAATTACCCTTATGATCAACCAAACTCAACGACCTTCCACAAACGCAAACCTATGTGAAGGGTGTACCGTTAAACTCTTTAAAGCAATCGCAATTTCAAACTCCAAAATATTTCCCTTCCTAACAGCAAGAATACCTCTCCAACTACTCAAAAGCACAGCCGTATTAGAGTGACCAAGATTCTGATTCTCAAATGACAACGTTCGACCACCTATCGTCACATATTTTGTTTCATGCAATAAATTCGTCAAAATCACTCCACATCTACACGCATTGATGAAGAAATCATCATAAATAATAACGACCTTATTTCCACGAATCATATCAATAATTACAATATCCTCAAAAAAAATCATAGAATGAGTTTCCAATTTGAGAACACCTCAGAACCGACTCATCCAATTCTTAGTGCGATTCAATAATTTTTCCTACGGTTCTTCAACGACCATCAAAATGAATTGGAATGCATCGTCGCAAATTTGCTCGTTCGTCGCAAAATGATTACTTGAAGGAAAAAATTTTCAGAAAATGATCCATCCCATTGACAAATGACAACACGGTATGATATTAACAAAAGAAATGGATGACATTCTATGAATGTATAATTTCGCATATTCTATGCGAGTTTGTGTCATTCGCAGCCGCTTTTGCAATAGTGAGGAATACGCCAATAATTGAGCAAATTTCCAAACGCGAAGAAAAAATGTTTTCTTGAATTCGCCGAAGATGTTTCGTGGAAGAATCGAGTGAAAAATCGAATGGAACAATTTGAGAGAAACGCGAAAATAATTTGAGAACACCGATGGTGATGACTTCACGGAAGATAAAGAGGATGCGCGACAATTGTCTTGACCTCATCAAGGAAAGTTATTATATTTCGAAAGTTCGAAATCCAACAACAACAAATCATAATCTTCACAAGCACTCCTCATAAAATATTAATGACGATAATCAAATATCCCCATGTCATCAATACATTCACTTTTGAAGACGGATATCAGATGAAATGAGATATCAAATAATCTAAATTGATGCGTCAACTGAATTGTGTTTCACCCACAAATTTTATATTTTCTGTGAAAATGAAGAGAGCTCAATGTTATATTCATCTCAAAACGTGATTATCATAACATATTATTTTAAAAAATCACCACACTTTCACAATCAAAAACAAATTTCTGCTAAAGATTACTAATTACATACTTTACACCAGATAAGCAATGACTACCCACTCAGCTGATCACTTTACACCACATCCAACACTCAGCTATGACTCAAGGTTATTGGTGACGTAAAGAAATCGTTACGCCAGCAGTCGTTTTCAAGCGGAAAGTATATTTCATTAGTTGCACCTACCAGTTTTTTGCTCTTGTTCGAAGCGTTTATCCAGATGTGCTTTAAAGTTGATGGCTTCTTCTCGATCCGAGAAATTCAATCCATACATACACTCGTCGCCCTCGAACGTCAGCAGGTTCGGGCATGTTGCGGTCGATGAAACTCGAAAGTTTTTATATCTAGAAACAAGAAGAATTTGCTGTAGATTGCATCGTTCTCTTAGTGAGCTTTTCTTAAAATTCTACAACATACATCCAATATTAGCCTCTAAATCATTAACTATTCGAATAAACCTCCAATCGGCACTAACATATTCTAAGGAACATCGTAACACCTGCTCGTACTCTCATTACCATCAAACATTCCATTGTTCATGAAAACACTCGCTTTGTGTTACTTCTACACGACCAAAGGATTGCACATCACAAGATCAAATGCTTCGACAATGCAGTCTCATATCTTATACATTTGCATGATTCATTTGATACAATAAATTCCAATACATATACTACAATACTATTTTTGAAGGGATATTCGATGGATTTGTGTAAAGGCCTCAATATCAGTGCGTCTCCTCAACATCCATTTATTACTCATACAGACTTCAAATATTCGATTCCATTTGATGCATATTTATGTTGGTATCGTGAAATGAAACAAATTTCAGCTTTTAATTCCGTATGTGAACGTAAAATAAACCGAATTAACCGCGCAATTTGATATATCATCACTCCAATCATCAATTTTCAATTTTAACAATCTTAACTCAAACGATTGCATGAATGACCGATTTAAAATTCATTCGAATACAAATAACTTTCATTCATCAAATAGCGAATAATAAACGATTGCAATAATATATTTATCTATTCGCAATTTCCTCAAATGACATCAAACCAAAAATCAACAAAAGAATCGCTGAACGAAACGGATCAAGAACATATTAAAAGTATCACGATAATCCGCAAGTATCCCTCAGCGCTAATCTCATTTCATTTACAATATCCACCTTAATCTCAGAGTCAGCCGCGCTCATTCATTCATTTATCCGATTCCACGATCACATGAAATCGTTCGTTCGATATGACCGATACGATCACGATCACAACCACGACTGTGACGATAATAATTGTATGATGATATTAAGGTGCCAATAACATTCGATATGTATCAACATTATATAATTTATACTAATGCTAATAAAAATTATTTGTGCTGCCCTTGAATTATTGAGTTATTTAGTTGGGACGTGAAAGAGATAATATCATATGTAATACTGTAAATACTGACCAAATGAAAGCACCTAAATACTNAAGAAATGTCATCTTCATTCATTCACTCACAATATTCGCATTCGACTGATCCCTCATCCTTACCCAACTCTAATATTACGAATGCATTATTAATCCATGAGAGAACATCTCATGCATGCACAGATTAAAATGGAAGCACATAAACTACAACATCAAAATGCATGATTTATGTGGATACAAACTTTAAACTATAAAATTCGCCTCATCCAGCACAATGAATCGTCGAAATTTCAAACCCTAAATATAGATTTGAATTGATTTCGACTTCACGTAACCATCGATAACGAGTGCTTATTCAACTACCTGAATAGCGAAAACTCTCTTAATAGGCACGGCAAATCATTCCCTCGTTTAATCTATTTCGACTGATACTCTCCAACAATGATATCGTCGATAACAGTAAAATGGAAAACTCACAGCATTTGTTCCCATACGAATTTATTCTTGAATATTTCGTAGAGTCGCAGAAAATACGATCGTTTCGGGTAGTCCTTCACCAACGACACCACACCGACGTGCGCTCTTGTCCAAACGCGTGCATTGTGTGGATCGGCTCGCAACAATTGTACAACACCGGCCGCCAGCGATATACAATCATGACCAAGCAACGAGTACAGAATCTCATTCTCGGATGCATTCAGCAGAGTGGCGCCTTGATTCTGAGGCCTTTC